TTCCGCCAAAGCTATTAAGTGTCCGTAAGTAAGAACCACACATACCTCAAGGCTCAATTTGAAATACTTAAGTTGGACAGGGAACATTCCCCCAAAATTTCAGCTTCCTAGCTTTTCTGGTCCCCGTGTAATTTTCCTGCAGAAACTTTCACATGCTCTTACGTGAGTACCACGCATAGCTTGGGGCAGAATTTGAAATTTTTAGTCGGTACATGCACAGAGAATATCCCTACAACGTTTCAGCCCTTTAGCTCATGTGTTTTCCCGAAATCGCTTTCTCGCCAAAAAATTTACATATTTCTTTAAAGGATCGTACACGGCACCCAGGCGTCCGCGGGGATGAAATTAAAACGGGAGGGTCGCGCATGGTATGGGCACATACTCCCATAGTTTCAGCCTTCTAGCTTTTCTGGTTCTCGAGTTGAAAGTGGGTGAAAAAAGTGCGAACACACGGACACACACAGACAGCCTCTTCCCAATATGCGTTTTTGCAATCTGCATATATGCAAAAACGCATAAAAAGGGATTCTTTGCTTTACACTGCAGTTCTGAACTTCCCATCTGATTGTTTTCTCTGGACAAAATTCGTGTCTCCTAACATACTTCCTGCCTCATAAGCTAAAAGTGTTCAATGCAATGTTCAACTTTTTGTTCGTTTCCTTTCCGAGCCGAAGAAACGAGCCATTTCCAACAGTCTTTTACAAGAGAAAAGAAATCGCAAGCAATGTATGCTGGTCGTTTCCTGTTTAAGATAAAAAACACGGAGGGGACATCAACCAAATCCGCCCTGTATGCGTCGCTATGCCGTTACTAGTCTTTGCGGTTTTGGTTGCAGGCCAAGTCCATCTCCAATCAACTTTATTCATGAACAAGTGATCTGTAGAAGCAATAGCTCATTAGGCGCGTTGCTGCTGCTGCCAGTGCCATTCCGCTGGATAGATGCCGTGGCTGTCAATTTATTTGCTCCTTACTTTTCTCCTGGGCGCAATAATTGTTGAAGACGCTCATCCCGACTGTGTATATGCAAATTCGACGATAACTGATCTGAGTTCCGCACGAAACCCTTGAGTCTCACTTTGGTCAGTAGACGCAATAAGGTTCTGGCTTTTCATGGAAAAAGTCAAATCGCGAGAAGGAAAAGCCACAGAAAAAATTAGACAAACAGTGGAATTTTATCACAGTCCAGCTGAGAAGTGATGTATCACTTTGAAACG